ATCACGCATTCAACATTGGAAGTTTCTCTTAATTTTCAGATAGGGGCGAAAGCTTGAAGCTCATCATGTAAAGAATAATGCTAATTATTATTAAATATTCTTTTGACATATTGCTTACCCTATGAATATTGTAAATTTCTTGAAGATTACTCCCAAAGAATTAACTGCAAAATATAATAAATATAATAAATGACTAACACATATAATTTTAAAATTTTGAGATTTTTTAGATTCATTTCAGTAAGACCAATCACGCACTCAACATGAGAAGTTTCTCTTAGTTTTCTGATAGGGGCGAAAGCTTGAAGCTCATCAATATCTCAAGATTATTTGTTACATTTTAATATTTTTATTTACCTTCTCATTTTACGACATTCATAGGCTTTTTAGCTTAGCAAGACAATCTTTCATACCTTCTTTCTGAATTTCTGCAAAATAAATATACGTTAGTTTCTCTTAGTTTTCAGAAAAGGCAAAAGCCTAAAACTCATAAGATGACGCCAGATTTGCAATTATCACTAAAAACTCACCTTTTAAGTTTAAAGATAATGCATTTGCTAACTAAAAATCTAAAAAGTAAACAGAATAAAATTAAATATTCATAAGGACTTACAATAAAATACATTTTATTGCATTGCGAATGTCACTTATTAATGCATTGAAACTTTGCATTTGTACAGCTCACATGAACAATAGGCGGTCTAAAACTTTAACCTTAACAGCTATGAAAATGCTCTCGAAATGGTGAGGATTAATGCCTAATGCCTAGATTAATAGAAATTATTCTATCCTATTCCTGATCCTCTTTTCTGTCTCTATCCTTATCCTTCTTCTTCTTTTTCTTTTTCTCTTTCTCAACAGGTACTTCAGCAGCGGACCCTTCCGCAGCCGGCGCCTCATCTCCCTTATGCTTCTTTTTCTTCTTCTTTTCTGTAGTAGCGGGCGGGGCGTCAACTCCCGCTTCCTCTGCACTTGATGTGCTGTGTTTGCGCTGCATATGGAAATTGTTTTTAGATTCAAATGCAAGTCATATAGTTCATGTATTTCTACAAACCTTGCTGATCTCATTGGAGCCATTTGAAGGCATTGGAGATTGCGGGGCGACAGCAGCAGCTGGCTTCTTGGCATTGTAGTCTACAAAGCCTGTTAGCCACTCTTTTGGTGTGTTTTCATTGGGCCTGCCGAACTTATCCAGTTTGCCGGCAGCAATGAGTGCCTTCTTGGCCGAAGCCTTAGGTCCCAGTCCCCACTTGCGCGGATATGTGTCACGCTCCATGATCACACGCTTGATCTTTGCAACGACCCCATGGTCGCATGAGGACATTGTTGCTGTGGTCATCATTGCAATGGCCAGGCAAATTGCCTCGCCCTTTGTGGTGCAGATGACGATCTCTTGTTCTATTTCAATGCCATCCTCATAGCGCAGGACGCCAGGCAACATAATTTTGGCACCATAGCACACAGCATTAACCTGAAGAAAATCAAAGGTTATTATAGGTGAACTATTTTTCTATTAGCTTATAAGATTTGTCGTCTGAAAATTACTTTGTCAGATACGCAAGGCGGGCGCAACACCAACATACACACATCAGCGACATTACTGTTCCCAGTCATAGTCACAGTCGCCGCTGGTTAATATACGGACGACTGCCGGCTTAATATCATGGGGTATAGTTTACAAAGCTCATAATACTATGCAACATACCGAACTGTCCTTCATAATTATGCGTTTGTGGTTAATTAGCAAGCCCTCCAATGGCTTGATCACGCGACGCAGCATAGACTCGTCTTTGTGATTCTCGTATAGCCACATAGCATCGAGTACGTCATGCATTGTGACCATGCCATCCCGCTCGGACTGTATGCCGGAGCGAACACGACGCAGCTCCAACATCTGGCCACCTACACCAAGAACTAGACCCAGATGGACGCACATGGTACGTATGTAGGAACCGGCTTCGCAGCTAACCCAAAAAACACCTAAACTCGTAAGTATAAGACAAAAACAGGATACTGTGTTACCACTATGAATGTGCATTCGCTAGAGCAAATACTTTAATTATGCTGTTTCCAGTGTAATTTTTAGCATTGTGCGCCTCTGTCTTAAGCCGAACAGTGACGCACTGACTGCATTGGGAGAGTAAAGAGTGCTGCATTTTGTCGACTTACCCATATTACGTGTTTCGTCGTAGTCCAGCAATTTGCTGTCGTAGACTGTTCGTACACGTAGTTGACGCTTCACAGCAGAGATGAGGGGCGGACGCTGGAAAAGCGCACCACGCAATTTCTCCAAGCCCTGACGTACTTTGGCCACCGACTCAACGGGACCGTGAAGTTTAAAAATAGCAACATACTCTTTGCCGGCACTTTGTTGCGACTTGACCAGACGTGTGGCGCGGTCAATGCAGACAATCAGGCAGCCTGTGTTAGAAAATGTGCATAGGCACGTGCGTCAGAAACGATTTTTAGGTTGGATTGAAAAAGTATCGCGCATTAGATATGAACGAAATATCGAATAGCAAACCTGTGATAATTTCAGTCGGCACGATTCGAATTACCTGTAACCTTCGGATCCAATGTACCAGAGTGTCCGGTTTTCTCCACTTTCAATATTTTCTTAATCCATGCGACTACCTCGTGCGAACTGGGATTTGAAGGCTTATCGAGATTAATGAAGCCGGTTTTGATATACTCTTTGATATCACGATTAAGCGGCGAAGAGCCATGTGCTAGTGGAGTATAGTGATTCGAGCGTATGTTCAACTTATCAAAGTTTTTGAGCAGTAGAGGCCATTGGGAAGTGTCCAACTCGGCTATTTTCGACGATGGTTTTATTTGAAATTGGTTCTGTTTCTGCAGAGTGCCAATATCTTCACCATCGAGTGGCTCTTGCTTGATTTTCTTCTTTTTTTTTCGAGAATCTGAAACGAAATAATACACAGTAAGTGTTGGATCAGTTTTTTTGTTTGTTTTTCATTTATTGTCACTTACCAACGTCAGTCATTTTAATTAATTTTACTTCCGATACAATACGCGCAATGCTAGAATACGTCCGCACGTGGCGGCAGGCCTAAGAAAATGGCCGAGGAACGCACGTGTTGATTGGGTTGAGTAGTTGAATATCGAACTAGCTCCGATTATTATTATTTTCGTTTTTAGGATTGACTATCGATATATGACAACAGTCATCAATTTATAGCAGATCTAGTTCTGTTAAAAAATAATAAGAAATAATAAATATTCATTAAACAAAATCGACAACAAGATTATTGATGCATCTTTATATTCTGTTTTACAACAAAACTACTTCTGGTATGTTGGCGCATAGGTTCAAACACTGACCAGACAAGACAACGTTTGCTCTACATGTCTCATCTATGTATGTGTTGTCTGGTTGTGAAACTACCATTGACATCGAATATTCGCTATGATGTGGTATCAGTGGTACTAAAAATAAACATATCGATAGTTATATCGAACTTGCCAGTCACATATCAAATAGTTCTGATTAGTATTAATACATCTCTAGCTTTGTTTTTGTTAATAAATGGAGCAGGTCCCAGAACGTGGTGTTGGCGCGTTAGTTAAAGAAAATGTTCAACTAAAAGTCACAAAGAACACAGCCATTAAGTGCTTAAAATGTGACAAAGTGTTTATATTTCCTGGTGACAAAGACGAGTGCTTGGCACACCTATACCTCGAACATCGTTTGGTTATAGCAGATGTGGAGGACATAGCGCTCCTAGAGGAGTATCTTCAATACTGGCAGAAGGAGTTCCAAAGTATATATACGTAATCTAATCAATAAATAACAATTAATTAAAATAATTAATTGTTACTAATATCTAGCACACGAGTTCGAACAGTACTGCACGACAATGTTTTTGGATCAGCTGCCAGATGGGCGCTACTCCAAGAACGAGAAATATTATCTGCTCTGTGACATCCTGCCGCAGGACTTTGAGTTGCGCAAGCGCTTACAGGACCAGCGCCTAACTGCTGCACTAGAACAACATCAGTTTGAGCTAACGGATCGTAGCTTTAGCAAGGAGTGCCTTTTCTGTCGTACTATCATCAAAGGACTGCGCGCTGACTACTTGGAACATTTGTTCACCAAGCACTTTCTGCTTGTCGGCAAGCCAGAGAACTTGGTGTATGTGGACGAGTTGCTCGACCAGCTGGAGGAAAACCTAAACAAACTGTTGTGTCTGTACTGCGAAAAGATATTCAAGGTAGGGCTGGCAGCATTATAGTATTCATTGCTTTACTATAAGTTTCGGTTGTCCCCAGGATAGGCCCACTCTGAAGGAGCATATGCGAAAGAAGGGTCATAAGCGTATAAACCCCAATCGGCGTGAATACGACAAATTCTTTCTGATAAACTACAATCGCTCGATTTTAAGGCCTGTGCCGCGCAAGCAGCCGCGAGAAGAGCGTAAGTCCGGCGCATCTGAAGAGAATGCCAGCGTGGACTTTGACAAGCACTTTGCCCGCCCGAACTCTGATGCAGACTGCGACTCAGATTGGTCCGACTGGGCAACTGATGGCGAGCCTCATGTCATCAAGTGTCTCTACTGTGCCCACCAGGAAAGTCAGTTTGGTGTCCTGAATCAGCACATGATCGATGCACACCACCTGGACTTTGAGGCCGTCACCAGCTCTTTAAACTTCTATCAGAAAATCAAAGTTGTAAATTATTTGCGGCGTCAGCTCTGCTTGTTGCGTTGTGTTTGTTGTGATTTGCAATTTGATGAGTTTGAGCTCTTGGCTGAGCACATGGCTAACGAGTCGCATTGTGGCATTGGCGATCGCTCGAAATGGGACAAGCCGGAATTCTTTTTTCCCTACATTGATAATGACGGACTCTTGTGTGTGTTAGACGACAGCCCGCAAGACGACTTGGATGCAGATGTGGTTCGTATCATTTCTGAAGATAGCGTAGTGCAGATAAATAAGGATGCGGAGCGTTTATCGCTAGAGAATTTTAAAATATGAATCCTACTGCAAGTAAACAAAATAAAAAAAAAATTTTTTTTCGATAATCGCAAATTGAATACGATATTTAATATATCGATATACACCAGTTACTAACGATACAGAAATGTATGAATTAAAACAAAAGTAAATAAAAAAATGAATATCAATTATTTATTGCTCCAAGATCAGCACGTAAATATGAGCTATGGCAGTGGCTGTTGCATGGTTGCATGGGCCTGCAAGTCGCGTTGGGGAGTTGGATACTTAGTTTTCATTGATCCTCCTTAAAGAAGAATTTGCTCCTAAGTGCAGAAAAACTGGGTCTAGAAGAATGGCCAAAAATCTCCAGCGAAATCGCCCGAAAATGGGTAAACTCAATGGAATCACGATTCAAAGAGGTGATTAAACAAAAACGAGGTAAAAAATATCCTAATTTAAGAATTTTTGGACAATAATGTCATTGAAAGTGAAGTGCACAAAATAAGCTGTGAGTCACAACCTGTGACATGGAAAAAGGCTGTTTTATTAGTTTTCTTTAGTTTTAAATTTTATTAATTATAATAGAAAAATTATTAAAAGCGTTAATACATAATGAATAAGCAATAAATTTGCATATCTTTACTGGTTTAGTGGGAATACGGTTTCAAAGTTTTACTATGCTGCTGCACGAAATAAGGTGTGAGCCCCTGTATGTATAGACTAACCAACCGAGCAAATATGTATGTACGAAGAGATCTGGGGTCGCAACGTTCGGAAAAAAGTGCAAAACCCTTTACACCGCGTATCCGGTTTATGTGTTGCCTGGTTAGTGGTGGTATATATTCAATTTATCAATCAAATATCGATATTCCTATTTAACTATTTTGTGCTGTAAAAGAATACCACGGAAGTGCGACGCGTTTTGGTATTTTTGTGTGTTTTTGTTTTGCTAACTGCACTGACATCATTCCACTTTCTGTAAGAAATTTGCTTGTTAGAATGGAAGCCCTAGACATTTTGGAGAAAAGAATAGGCGCATTGAACCGTGTGCTGGGTCCCCTGCCCGAAGCACAGGTTGGAGACGATGGAAACACAACAAAGACTGCCAACATAGTGGACACTCTTTGTTCTGCCAACGCCTTGCTGAGCGAAGCCACAACGGGACGAACCCAGGTGCAGCAGTGTGTGGGACGTGCAGCGGAATTGGAGAAATATTTGGATCCCAACTACTTAGAGGAACAGCAGCAGGTTCGCGCCAAAGAAGTCTACATTAATGCCGTTGCACCTGAGCTATATGCACAAAGCGAACAGCTGGCACGAATCAAACAGCTGGAGCCGGCGCTCGGTGCCGAATATTTTCGAAGCATACCCAGCGAGTGCCTTGACAAGCTCAAGCAGATCACGGAAAATAACGACGAATATGCACAGCAAAGCGAACTAATTGAGGAGAGCCTCATATTGGCCATGAAGCGTTACGGTGAAATACAAGCGGGCCTGCTCAGCTCGTTGGATGCGATGAGCGAGCGCCTTGACCAGGTCGAACAGCGCATGGAGCAGCAGAAACGTGCCGAGCTCACAAAGGATGTGGCCCCCAAGGACTAAAACGCTCAACTCCCTCCCACAAGTATTTAACCTTAGATATTGTTCCACTGTTCGCCTGTACATATTTATTTTTCTAATTCAAATGCCTTACACAAAAGACATCTCAATTAGATATATATACATCTGCAAGGGCACGCAGCCTGCAGCACTTCTAAAATATTTGTTCTCTCTTCTTAGTCCTATATGATACTTAAAGCTAAGAACTAATGATGCAGATGGCTTAGAAGCGCAGCTCGGCACGTTGTATTTGGTCGTAGATGGGCTGCGTCAATGGCACATAGCAGCCATTGTCTTGGGAATAGAAGAAGAGTTCATCCTCGATTGTGGCTGGATTGTAGCCCTGTTGCTGCAGCTCCACCTTACGCAGCTTGAAGGTTCCTGTTAGATCGATGCGACGCAAGAAACGTAAGAATTGCGGACGGGCATAGCTGGGCACGACGCTAGCAAGTGCTGCGCCCAGATGGGACACATCTACCTCCCGGTTGGGATCATAGATGGCGGCCATGCCGGCGCGTCCCTCTGTCTGGGGTACGAACACCCCGTAGACAATGGTGTCCTTATAGTTGACCAGGTTGCTGAGCACTGCCTCCACTTCGCTGGTGGAGACGTTCTCGCCCTTCCAGCGGAACGTGTCGCCCGTGCGATCCTTGAAGTATAGATAACCGTATTCATCGGCCACCAGCAGATCGCCCGATATGAATGCCTTGTCGCCTTTGCAGAATACGTCGTAGACGACCTTCTTGGAGGAGGCCTTGGGGTCCACATATCCGAGGAACTCACGGGAGGGATTGCCCTTAACGATTTTGCCTATGAACACGCCTGGTTCATGTGGAGCACACAGCTCACAGAGGCCCTTCTCGTTACGTGTGGGCTCGCCAGTGTGGAGGTCGGCGCGGATTATAGAAATGGGGTAGATCTGCGGCAGTATGCGGGAAACGAAGCCAATGGCGCCCACAGTGTTGTCGTTGTTTATAATGTTTGCATTGCCCTCAGTGGCACCGTAGAACTCGCCCACTTTAGCTATGTTGAAGCGCTCGACGAACTGCTTCCAGATGTGCGGGCGCAGCCCGTTGCCAAAGACCATGCGCACCTGGTGCTGCCGATCGTGTAGCGCATTCGGCGTAGCTAACACGTAGCGCGCCATCTCGCCAATGTACTGGCCAACCTGGAAGAATGGCTGAGGTGAGAACTTGCCAAAGATCGCGGCAGTGCTCCCTGCTTACCGTGCAGTTGAAGCGGGCGCAGTCGGCAAAGTAGCCCGAGGCGCTGAATTTCTGGCGTATGACCACGGTGGACCCGAAGAGCAGCGCTTGGCCCATGGTCATAGTGCCGCCAGCCGTGTGGTAAAGTGGCAGTGGGGTGTAGAACACATCGTTGTCCCGGAAGCCCAAGGCGTAGTGTATCCCAGCGGCTATGAAGAAATAGCTGTGGCCACAGAGTATTAAAGCTACACCATCTGTCCCGCAGAGTCTTCTGGACTCGGACTTACCGCGAGTGTGTAATGACGGCCGCCTTAGGCAGCCCGGTCGTGCCCGATGTGTAGATGTATACCAGCTTATCGTGGTGATCGGCCCGACTAGCCCCGGCGGCGACCTTATCCTTGGGCGCCGACTCCAGCAGGGTGTTCAAGTCCTGCGCTATGCCTTCCGTGGGTTCACCTGCAGTTGACTCGTCGTTGAATTGATAGAGCGCCACATGGGCGGGCAGATCCTTGGCAATATCCATTACCGCCGACCGGTAGCTCACGCCGTAGATGAGCGCCGTGCAGCTGCCCACTTTAATGCTGTGCAGCAGCGAGGCACCACGCAGGTTCGTATTGATCAGGGGCGTGATAACGCCTATCTTGGACAGGCCCAGCCAGGTGCCCACGAACTCGGCGCGATTCTCCAGCAGCAGACCGACTACGTCGCCCTTCTTATAGCCATGGCTGTGGAACACGTTGGCGACGCGGTTCGCATATTCGCTTAGCTGCCGGAACGTCCACTTCTGCGACTCGCTGACGATGGCCAGCTTGTCCGGCTGCCTAGCCACTGTCGCCTCGAAGACGTCGCCCACGTTGAGGTTCTTCCTCTCCAGCCGTTTGATAAAGAGCAAGACGCGTATGTACGCAATCAGAGCGCTGTAAAGAAACATTTGAGATATTGCATGGAAAGGAAGAGCTTCCAATTGGTCATACACCGTATCGCGTGGCCCAGTCACCGCCGCTATATAAAACCATCGCCAACCTGGCTTCACCAGCATCAGAACCATCAAGCCCAGATAGAGGGCAGCTAGTCCGTACCAGGTTCCCTCGTAATACCAGACCACAGTGACAATCGCGGCTACGGCTGGCATCAAGAGCACCAGCAGAAGCCAGCTACGACAGTTACTCTTCTTCCTGGCATTAGCTTTGTCCTGGCCCATGCTAATTTGCACTTCCTTAGGTGCTGTCTGAAATGAATATCAATAGGTCGATCGTAAGTTTCCTTGCAGCTGGCTCTTGGATCCCAGCGAATTTGGGTGGCTGTGGAGACTCGTGATAATTGTATCAATATTATTTTTTGTTAAGACAAAGGCAGGGGAAAACTAAAGCTAAACTCTTAGTCGATCATTCCCAATGCTTTTGTCTCTATGTTTTATTTACGTCATTGACAGTTTCGCTTAAAATATACAGTGAATAGTATATAAAACTTAAAGTACTTAAATCGTTTGAAAACTGAATAATTTTATCGATTAGTGACGAGAACTAGTTGCTAACATACATACATATGTATGTACATGTACGACTTTCAGGTTCGATATAAACTGATCTAAGCTATAACGCTTTGCTATGTAAATATAAAGTACAGATAATTATTTATGCTAAATACATATGTATATACAATATATAGACATTTGAATTTAATTTTTTTGCAATATTCATGTAATAGTTCCTAACCATTTCGTGTCACAATGATATTGAAGATTAGATTGGACAATCCCAAGCGGCAATGTCTTTTACTTAATTTAATAAGGTGTAAAAGGCGTATTTCAAGTAGTAGAGACTTGTGCTTTGGAATGTACATTCATTTGAACATTATGAGTATGTTCTGAATTCTGAATTTCATTAAGATTGGACGTCTAGAAAATAAATTATTCAACAAATAAATTCTCATAATATTGCCCACACTGCAGCGCAGCCCAAGTGCAATCGCTGCTTACTGCGCAGTTGGCAGAGCGAGTTCTACTACGTGCGTGTTTATGTATGTGTGCCTAAAAGAAGTGTAGAGTGAGTAGAATATCAGATTGGAGGGTTCAGGGTATCTCCTAGTCGAGCAGTCTCGACTAG